TTTTTCTTTGTAAGTCTGGCTAGTGGTTTGTCAATTTTATTTATCTTCTCAAAAAACCAGCTCTTTGTCTCATTGATCCTTTCTACCGCCTTTTTCGTTTCAATAGTATTTATTTCTGCTCTGATTTTTATTATTTCTCTCCTTCTGCTGACTTTGGGCTTCATTTGTTCTTTTTTCTCTAGTTCAGTTAGGTGTGCTTTAAGGTTGCTTATTTGGGATTTTTCTTGTTTGTTAAGATGTGCCTGTATTGCGATGAATTTTCCTCTTAATGCAGCTTTTGCTGTATCCCATATGAGATGGTATGGCATGCTATCATTTTCATTTGTTTCCAGGTATTTTTTTATTTCTTCAATGATCCATTGCTTGTTCAGTAGTGTGTTGTTTAGTCTCCACATCTTTGTGCCTTTCTCAGCTTTTTTCTTGTAATTAATTTCTAGCCTTATAGCACTACGATCTGAGAAGATGCTTGTTATTATTTCAATTTTTTTAAATTTGTAGAGGCTTGCCTTGTTTCCCAACATATGCTCTATCCTAGAGAATGTTCCATGTGCACTTGAGAAGAATGTGTATTCAGCTCTTTCAGGGTGGAGTGATCTATATATGTCTATTCAGTCCAATTGTTTTAGTTTTTCATTCAGCTCCACTGTTTCCTTGTTGATTTTCTGTCTGGATGATCTGTCCACTGATGTGAGTGGGGTGTTGAGGTCCCCTACTATTATTGTGTTGTTTTTAACATCTTCCTTTAGGTCTGTTAATAGTTGCTTTATGAATCTTGGTGCTCCTGTGTTGGGTGCATAGATATTTATAAGCGTTATTTCTTCTTGATGGAGTGTCCCTTTGATCATTATATATTGTCCCTCTGTGGCTCTTTACCTGTCTTATTTTGAAATCCACTTGGTCTGATATAAGAATTGCAACACCTGCCTTTTTTTCCTTGCTATTTGCTTGAAGTATTGTCCTCCACCCCTTCACCCTGAGTCTGTGTTTGTCCTTGGGGCTGAGGTGTGTTTCCTGGAGGCAACAAATTGTTGGATCTTGTTCTTTAATCCATTTTGCCACTCTGTGTCTTTTTATTGGAGAGTTCAATCCGTTCACATTGAGAGTGATTATTGATGCATGTGGACTTAATGCTGTCCATCTGTCGCTCATTATCTTGTTTTCCTGCATTTCTTTTCCTGTGTGCTTTAGACTACCCATTTGATACTGCAATTTCTTATGCTGGGTTTCTTAGATTTTTCCTTATCTATGATTTGTGACTCTGTTCTGTACTTTATTTTAGTGTCTACCTTGAAGTTTGTATTTAGAATCTCATGTATAATATAGTCTATTCTCTGGTGGTCTCTTACCTACTTGACCAATACTGATTTAGACCCTTTGCTCTTCCCCTCCTAAATAATTATTTTCATTTTTTATTCCAACTCGTCTTATTAATTTGTAGTTAGAGTGCTAATATCGTCCTTGTTTTGGTAGTTTCCTTATTTTTACCCTAATGCTATAATTGAATATTTGCCATCCTGTTCTGGTTCTATCCATCGGTCTCCCTAGTCTGTGGATTGTGTCCCCTTTCTCCCTTTTTTCTTTTTTCAGGTATGAGAGCCTTCTTGAGGATTTCTTGTAGTGGAGGGCTTTTAGTTACAAATTCCCTTAACTTTTGTTTGTCTGGAAAAGATTTAATTTCTCCCTCATATCTGAAGGAAATTCTTGCTGGATAGAGTATTCTTGGCTGAAGGTTTTTATCCTTTAAATCTTTGAATATATCACTCCATTCTCTCCTAGCTTGTAGGGTTTCTGTAGAGAAATTCGCTGACAGTCTGATAGGGGCTCCTTTATAGGTTATTCTCTTTTTTTTTCTTACTTCCCTGAGTATTCTTTCCTTATTATTCCTATTTGCCAACTTTACTACTATGTGCCTTGCGGTAGGTCTTTTTACATTGACAAATCTAGGAGATCTAAAACCCTCCTCTACACACATTTCTCCGTTGGTCCCTAGATTTGGGAAGTTCTCTTCAATAATTTCGTTAAGCACACTTTCTGCTCCATTTTCCTTTTCCATATTCTCGGGAATTCCTATGATCCTTATGTTCTTACTCCTCATTGAATCCATTATCTCTCGGAGATTTTCCTCATTTTTTTAAATTCTTAGTTCTCTTTCTTCCTCTGTCTGGCGCCATTCAGCCTGTCTGTCCTCGATTATGCTAATTTGCTCCTCTATGTTGTCTACACAGGCATTCAGGTAATCCGTATTCTGTTTTATGTGGTCCATTGTGTTTTTCATCTCAAGTAATTCTGTTTGATTCTTCTTTATGATTTCAATCTCTTTTGTGAAGTAACTCCAGAACTCGGCTTGTTTCTCTTTCTCTCTACCTCATTGAGTTTTTTGATTATAGCTGCTCTAATTCATTATCACTTAGTTTACCTAATTCCAAGTCCTCAGGACTTAATTCTGTGTTTTTATTGTTTTCCTTCTGGTCTGGGGCTTTTATAAATTGCTGGATGGTAGAGGAGCGGTTTTTTCTCATGGTGGTAGAATTCAGTTGCAGTTACAGCCTGTCGCCACTAGATGGGGGTCGAGAGCGGCGTGTTAGCTCTCCGCCTTGGGGCAAGATGGCTGCGCCCACAGGCTTTGCTGGGGGGGAGGGGCTGTTACTCACACGCGCCGGTCTGGGTTCAGATCAGTTCTGTTCTCTGGTATCCCAAGGCCCTTGATTTATAGGGTCCCCGCGGACGGAACCTCCCCCCCCCCGTCAGCGGGTCTCCACTGAATCAGCGGCAGGAGCGGCAGGAGTCCTGGATGATCCCCCGGTCGCGCGGCCCCTCCCCCGCTCCTTCCCGACCGGCGCTGCAGCGATCGCAGACTCTAGGGGAGGGAGCGATCTTCTCTCTACCGTTCCAGCGCCTCCGAAGGTGTAAAGCTAGGTTTATGATCTCCTCCTTCTTGGTATTGTAGGTCTCTAACGAGCTGGCATTATGTTTATTCTCTGAAATTCAGTTCTTCCAATCTTTTGTTGTATTTTGGAGGGGAGAGAATCCTGGGTCAGCTCACCCCGCCATTTTGCTGCGCCTCTCTTTCCCTACCCCAGAATTTTGCCGGTTAAAACAACGAGCCTGTACTATCTCCCAGTTTCTGAGGGTCAGGAATCTGGCCCCAGGTGCTCCGGCCTCGGGCACAAGATCTCTCATGAGGCTGCAGTCAAGCTATGGGCCACAGCTGTGTCCTCATCAGAAGGCTCCGCCGAGGGGGGGTCTGTGTCCCAGCTCCCTTGCTGGTTGTTGGCAGGCCTTCATCCTTTGCCACGTGGATGTCTCCACAGTGCTGCCTCATGTCATGGAGAGCAATTCCAGAGGGAGAGGGAAGTGACAGCCCATCCTTCCTGCTGTCCTCTCTTGGCTGGAAGTTACTCAATCTAGCCCACACTCGGGGGATGCACAAAAGTGTAAACGCAGGAGGGAGGCATGGGTGGGGGCCATCAGCTGCCACAATAGGTAAACCAGAATGTACTTTACATAGTGACAAGTGTGGAAAACAACAAAACAGGAGGGAAGACATGAGATGTTAGGCAATGTGTTGACATTTTATATAAAGCCACTAGAGAAGCCCTCACTGAGAAGGTGACTTTTGAGTAAAGACCTAAAGGAAAGGGGCTGCCCCGTGGCCAAGTGGTTAAGTTCGCGCACTATGCTGCAGGTGGCCCAGTGTTTCGTTGGTTCGAATCCTGGGCGTGGACATAGCACTGCTCATCAAACCATGCTGAGGCAGCGTCCCACATGCCACAACTAGAAGGACCCACAACGAAGAATATACAACTATGTACTGGGGGGGCTTTGGGGAGAAAAAGGAAAAAAAATAAAATCTTAAAAAAAAAAAGTTTAAAAAAAAAAAAAAGACCTAAAGGAAGTATGTGAGTCTGGGGAAAAGGCGTGCCAGGCAGTGACAACAGCACGTGCAGAGGCCTTGAGGCAGGAGCCTCAGAAGGACTGACAGTTGTGAACCAGGAGAAAGCAGGAAACGAGGTAGGCTTGGCTACAGGCACACTTGAAATACATTTTCAGCATAGCTCAAGAACCCACCAGCCACCCTCCCCACGGCCACCATGTGGTCACCCTAGCCTTCTTGAAAAGCCTTGAGCAGAACTGTTCTGTGCCCACTCTGGGGCCTCTGCAGGGGCTGCCCCTCTTTCTGGGAACCCCCATCCTGGTGTGCTCCATCCTTCTCTCCCCCAAAGTCACGGCTCCAACGGCACCTGCTCCCCATCCGAATTGCGGAAGTGCATAGCTCTTGCACTGCCTGAGAGTGTCATCTTTCGTTGTTAGCTGTTTGTCTCTCCCATTAGATCTCACAAGCGCCAGGGGAATAGAGGCCTCCATCAAAGTGCGCTCAAGGACAGCAGGGGGCACAGAAGAGGCGCTGGGAAATGCCATGGAATGGATGAACGAGGGACGGAAGCTTTCTGCGCTGGTTACCATAATTTATTCATAAAATACTGTTGTATTTTGACTTCGGTTCGGCGTTAGGAAGCTTTGCGTTTGTATCTGAAGACGACGTGAGAAATATACGGGGGAGGGCGAGACTGGGCGTGGAGGCCAGGGGGAGGCCGCTGGGACCAGCGAGGGTGGCCGGCAGCGGGGCTGGACACGGGGCAGGGACTTCCGCGCAAAGGAAGGAACCCCGGACTCGGCGGGGACGGCGGGCGCGCAGGGCGGGTAACGCCACGCGGGCCCGAGAGCTGGAGCCCGGGGCCCCGCCGCGCAGCGCACGCGCCGCCGGGACAGCGCTCCGCACAGCCCGGCCCGGGAGCTCCGCCCACTGGCGCAGACTCCACCCCATGACTAAGCACCGCCCACTTAACCCCGCCCCAGCCCTAAGCCACACCCACGGGCTCAGGCCACGCCCCACAGGGAAGGCTCCCCTCTGGCTAGGCACCACCCACGTAGCCCCGCCCCTGCGGCCTAAGCCCCGCACCACCCCGAACCCGCCCACTGGAGCAGGCCCCGCCCCCGGAAGCCATCAGCTCGCGCAGGCGCCCTAGTCCCACAGCTGCGTCCGGCCTGGCCCAATCCCCCGCTCCCGGGGTGCCGTGATGCCGCTGCCGCCGCTGTGCACTTTGCCGCTCGGCCCTGGGCCCCCGCGCTTCGTGTGCTACTGCGAGGGGGAGGGGAGCGGGGCCGGCTTCAACCTTTGGTGAGTGGTGGGGTCCGCGGGGCGGTGGAGCGCGGGCCTCCCTGCGCGTCGCGCCTGACCTCCCGTCCCCGCAGTGTGACGGACGCCGCGGAGCTCTGGAGCACCTGCTTCACACCGGACAGCCTGGCGGCCCTCGTGGGTAACGGGGCTCCTGGGGGGCATGGCAGCCCCCGGCACGCCCTGCCTGCAGCCAGACCACCTATGGGGTCGAACGGGCGGTCTGGGATATCCTGGAGGGTCTGGACACCTTCCCCCGGCTCTGTAGCCGTGGTCCTAAGATCGGCCTGGGGTCCCGGCTGGCTCTGGGTCGGGCAGGTTTGGGGTGTCCCCAGTGGTTCTGGGGTCTCGGGCAGCTGGTGACCAGCCCCTATGCCCTGTAGAAAGCCCGTTTTGGCCTGAGTGCGGCTGAGGACATCGTCTCCCGGTTCAGGTGAGCCCCTGAGCGGGAGGAGGGTGTGGCCGCGGGGGCTCTGGCCTCAGTACTCAGCGCCGCTCCTTTCCCAGGGCAGCCTGCAAGCAGCAAGCTGTGACTTTCACCCTGCAGGAGGACAGAGCATCCCTGACCCTTTCAGGGGGGCCCTCGGCACTGGACTTTGACCTCTCCAAGGTGCCGGGCCCAGAGGCTGCCTCCAGGTTGCAGGCACTGACATTGGGCCTGGCAGAGCGCGTGTGCAGCTTGGAGCGGCAGCTGGCAGGTAGGGTGGGCGGTGGGCACCTGGCACCCTCACTAGGGTCCCCTGCCTGTGCCTCCATTCCTGGCTTTCTTCCCCAGCTGCGGAGGAGACAGCCGCCAGCCCAAGGAAGAGCCCCAGGCTGGTGGGGCCTCAGCTCTTCTTACCAGGTAAAGCCTGTCACCTATGATGGGCTGGGGCTGTCCTCTTTCCTCTGGGACTCAGTTTCCCACGAACAAGCCTCAAGCTCCAGAGAGAGGATCTGTCTTTGTGGAGGGGGGGTTATGGTCCTGGGATCCTGCCGGGTTCAGGACCCCCCTCCCATCCTGTTTTCCCCAGACCCAGATCCTCAGAGAGGGGGCCCTGGACCTGGGGTCAGGAGAAGGTGTCCAGGAGAGTCCCTCATCAACCCTGGCTTCAAGAGGTACCCACCCACCTGCCCCTTCCTCCTGTGCTCAGGGTCCATCCCTGGAGCCCTGCCCTTCCCTCCATACCCCTGTAGTGTCACCCGCTCTTCTCTCCTAGTAAGAAACCAGCCAGTGGTGTAGACTTTGACGACCCCTGAAGCTGCAGCAAAAAGTGTGACCCTGCCAGGAGTCCACCTTTGCAGAGAGGGGCAGCCCCTGGGACCACCACTGGAGACCACACCACCGCCACCTGCCCGTCCTGCTGGCCAGCAGGAACAGAACTGCTTCTGGAGCCCCTTCCACGTCAAATAAATGGCTTTCTCAGGTGAAGCTCCTGGCCAGGCTCTCACTCGTGGGGGCTGGCTAGGGCAGAGGGATCAGGGATTCCCTGGGGCCTGCGATCTGGGCCTGGGGCCACAGCACAGAAACAGATGTTCCTGGCTCCATTCTCTCTTCCTGGTGGAGGAGCCGCCAGCTGTCCCTGCCTGGCCAGCCCAGGAGTGGAGAGGGTCGTTCGTTTGCAGCAGGGCCAGGGCTTCCCAAGTTTAGAACTCTGTTTCCACCCCCACTGGGCACACCCCTCATTCTTTCAGACCCCACCCAGCAGGGCATAGCCGTGAGTACCTTACACGATGTACACAGTAGGTCCTATGGGACAGGAGAGGTGGCCTGCCACCTGGGGCGGAGCGGAGGAATGTCGGCTGGCTGGGAGCCCAGAGGTGTCCAGGCTGTGTGCTCTGCTCCCCACCCTCCTTGGCCATCCTGCAGCCCCGCCCTGGCCTGACTGGTTTGGGAGCCCAATCCAGTCCCTGCCATCCCTGATGAGTAGAGGAATGGGCTGTGCCCCACCCACCATGCTCTCTGCCCCGGTCGTTCTGGGCTGTCATGTGAAGCTGAGCGCCGCACAGTGGGAGTTTGGGGGTGGCAGAAATCTCGGGGCTTCTGGTCTCTCGGATGTCAGGACACGCTTACTGGGGCAGATGCCTTTATGGGGCTGCAGAGAAGTGGTCAGGGTGGCAGCGGGGGCGCTAGCGGGGGTGCACGGCAGGCCGGTAGGCCGCCAGGATCTCGGCGCTGTGAGGACACGTGTACTTGAACTCCTTCTCCTGCAGTGCTCTCTCCAGGTAGTGGCGGACGCCGCGCAGCTCGGCGGGGATGGGCGCCTGGCGGAAGTGCGCGCACACCGTCTGCGGGCGAGGGGCGCAGGCACGGTCAAGGCCTCTGCCAGGGCCCGCCCCACCGGCCCCCGCGCCCAGCCCGCGCTCACGTCCACGATGTGCAGCTTGGGCAGCAGGCCGCAGTCGGCCAGGGTGAGCTGGTCGCCGTCCAGGAAGCGGCGGCGCGACTCGCGCAGCTGCGGCTCCCGCGCCCTCTCGTGCTCCAGGGGCGCGCGCAGGTAGCTGTCCAGTCGGGCCAGGGCGCGCAGCAGCAGCTGGTACAGGGCTGGGGGCGGGGCTGCGGTGAGGAGCCGGCCTGGGCGCAGCTCCTCCCCGCCTCTCGCCACAGCCCCCGACCCTCCTCACCATGGTCCTGCGCGGGCACCGGGTTCTTGATGAACGCGGAGAACTTGTGGAAGACGTCATTGCCCGCCGTGGTGGACTCCCTGTAGCGGGGTGCCAAGCTGGGGAACCTGCGGGCCGGTCGGGCCAGGGGAAGGACTTGGGTCAGACCCTTGTGCCGCCACCCCGCCCCCCGGGCTCCGTCCTGGCGGTGTCCTCCCTGGGGGCCCCATCTCTCGTCCTCCTCCCGCGCCCGGGCCCTCACTCGGGGGGCCCCAGCGTCTCCTCCAGAAACTCCTCAATCTGCATCGTGTCCGTTTTGGCGTCGCCGTCATAGAGGAGGATGGGCAGCTGGGAGCCGGGGGCGAAGTCTTTCAGCACATCCGGGAACCTGTGGGCAGAGGCGAAGGGGAGGCGGCTGGTCCAAGGGGAGCAGAGGCCAGGGAGGGGTCCCCTGGGCTGGGGTGGGGGGCTCACCTGCGCATGTCCACGGTGGTGAGCGTGAAGGGCACGCCCTTGAGAAGCAGGATCATGAAGAGCCGCTGACAAGAAGGGCAGTGCCCCACGCTCTCGCCGTCCTCGCTTGCCTGGGGTGGGTGGAGTAGAGAGGTTTTAAGGGCAGGGAGCAGACCCAGGAATCCAGCCACCAGGCTGGGTGGGACCAGGCCTCCCACTGCCAAGAGCCTGGAGCTGCTCCAGGGCTTGGGCCCGGTTGGGCACGGCCTCGACAAGTGGCCCGTGAGGGCCCTTGACTTGGTCCCTGGGAGGTGGGGAGGGGTGCAGAGCTGCTGGGAGCCTGGAGGCTGGGTGAGGGCACAGGCTCTGAGACCTGGTCCCTTGACCCTTATCTTCAGAGCCTGGGCAGAGGCCAGGCCCCTGGGCCCAGGCCCTGCAAGCTGGTCGCAAGGGTGGGGTGGGCCGAGTGAGCTGTTTTCTGAGTGATTCACCCGCCAAACGGGGCGCCGTGGCTGGCAGCACACTCACTGCCCAGCGCCCCAAGGGTCGGCAGGCAGCCATGGCCTGGCAGCCGTGCACAAGGAGCCACAGACCCGGGCACTGCCGTGAGCACCAATGGTGCTGCCTGGCCCCCTCTCCTGCTGTGTTGTCCCCAGGCTCCACTTGGGCCTCGGCTGCTGGCTGTCTGGTTGGCACCTCCCCACCAAGGGGCTTTTTCCTCTAAGAGGGCTGGGCTGGGCCCAGGAGCCAAGGCTGGGAGTTGGAACCCCTACCCCTTTGGGGCAGCTCACTGGGTCCTTGTCCCCCAGGCTGCCCCTGCCTTACTCAGCCAGCACAGGGGAAGGGGCACAGACACTGCCTCAGAGACCCACCCCTTGGCCTGCCCCAGAAAGCGGAACCACAGAACACCCCCTCCCGAGTTCTCCCCCCAGCCCTGCCTGCCCGGCACCTTGACAAACAGCTGGAGCTTGGAGGTTTCAGCCATGGCGGGGAGCTGCAGTGGCAGGGCACAGGTGGGTGGGACCTGGGGAGCTCTTAAAGGCTCCTGGGTGCCCCGCCCTCCGCAACCCAGCGCCCGCCCCTCAGGTCACCTACAGGGGCAGACAAGGTGGACAGGGCTCGCTGTTTGAGCGTGAGGGTGTGACCATGAGGGGACCTGATGCTCAGGACTGGCCTTGGGCCTGTGAGGCTGAGACCAAGCTGCCTGGTGCAGGCTGAGCTCACCATGGACCATGGGAGGGTAGTGATGGGCGCCAAGACCACTGGACCGGGAGGCAGGGAGTGAGGGGCACCAGCCTGGGAGGGGGCGGTTCTGGGTCAAGATCACCCCCATTGTGGACCCCACAGCCCTCCCTGCAGTGAACAGCACTTTGTCTTTTGGGGACCCCAGCCCAGAAAGCCAGGGAGTGGGTAGGAGAGATGAATAGCCTGCCCCCAGCCTCAGTTTCCCCATTGGCATTACCAGGACATTACAGGAGTGATCAGCTCGCCTGGAAGGGATGCCCCCTCCCAAGAGCTGAGCTCTGTCATGCAGGTCCGTGTCGCGTCCCCGTCCCCCTGTCTCCCCCCCGCACCCGCCCGGCCCACATTCCAGACGTTCTGCCACTCGTAGGGGATGAGCCTGGCTCAGGTGTCTCTTCCCAGCCCACCCCACACCCCTGTCTCCCAACGCAGGCTTCTCCCCCTCTTAACCTTTCAAAAGAAGCACCAGAAGGCTCTTAGAAGCCACGACCTCCTGACCCATGGGATCCGCCCACACCACACTGGGCTGGGAGGAAAAACCCAGGGGAGATGGGAAGCCTGCAGCCCTCAGGTGTGCGCCCGCCCTGCCCAGCCCCCTGACTTGACTGGAACCCACAACCCGCTCCACCCGTTGGGTCACCCGCTGCACCTCCCCCACTCAGCCTGGGAGCCAGAATACTCTGCGCCGCCAGGTGGCCGAGAGTGGGATCTGCCCGGCGCCTGGGCCTCCTTCCCCAGGGCCTCCAGCCTCGTGGCCCCTTCGTGGACCCCACACCAGCATGCCACCCCTGGAGCCTGGGGGCTGACCCTGATACCCTGTGGAGTTCGGGCAGCCCCTTTCTGGGGCCTGGGCCTCCCCTGCACCTGCTGCCACTGCACCACCAGTATTTTGGCTGCTCCTTGACAACGTGGCGGGCGAGCCCACCCCCACTTTCCTGCTTCCGGACCCGCAAACCACCGCCCTGGAGAAGGGCCCGAGGCCCCTCCACACCTGCTCGCGTTCACCAGATGTCTGTGTATTTCTCTGTGTATAAAAATACCCTTACAAATCCATAAGAAAAACGGTGAAACGGACAATGAACAAACAGGTGGTTCAGAGAAAAGGAGATACAGACACGGAGAGAAGATGGGAGGGCGTGTCCCACCGCACACTTAGTCCAAGAAACAAAGCAGAACAAGAGATGGTTCACGGGCTGAAACGTGGTAACCATCTTCTCGGCAAAGACTCGAAGAAACGCTCTGCTGGGGCCGCCAGGTCAGCTGGCAAGATGGCAGCAGCCATTGAGCCGGTTCACCCACCTGGGAATGTCCCCGAAGTGTCCTTGTAAATACATGAGGGACAGTGTCTGTGGAGTCCTGGTGCATCCACGGGAGAGGACAGGGGAGTGGGTCTCTCTAGTCTGCAGTTTGGTGGTTCTGTGGCTGAACCGTGCCCCCAAGTTCCTATGTTGAAGTCCTCACCCCCTGCACCTCAGAATGTGACCTTGTTTGGAGATAGGGCCTTTACAGAGGTCGTCAAGTTTAAACGAGGCCATTAGGATGGCCCTACTCAACACGACTCTTTTCCGTATAAAAAGAGTAGATTTGGACCCAGACGTGCACACGCAGGGGGAGAACGCTGTTTGAAGATGGAGGCAGAGGTCAGGGTAGTGCTTCTACAAGCCGGGAGTGCCAAAGATGGCCCGCAGACCACCAGCGGCTGGGAGGGAGTGTGGAACAGATCCTCCTTCGTGGCCTGAAGGAGCCAGCCCTGCCCACGCCTTGATCTTGGACTTCGGCTTCCAGACCTGGGAGAGAATACTCTTGTTGTCGTAAGCCGCCAGTGTGTGGTGCTTTGTTAGGGCAAATCTAGCAAACCGATACAAGTGGGAAGAAATAACCCAGCACATTGAAAAAATCTATGCATCAGTAATTATTGTTCTGAGTCTGTGCTTATATATATGTGAAAAAAAGACGAAAGGACCACATACAGGATAGCCTCTAATGATAGAAACACAGATAGCCAACTTGTGCACTGTTTGAATTTTCTGCCGTGTTTTCATAGTAAATGTTTTTAAAGAAGGGAGACCAGAAACTCATGGTCACCAGCCTTAACCTGACCCACAGCCTACCCAGGCCACCGGGGTTGTCACTCAGCTCTCTCAACACTCCCTCCCACCCCCTGCCCCCTGCCTCATCCACAGAGCAGCCCCGGGGACCTGGGGCCTAAGCCGGTGTCTTTCTCCCTTCATGGTCCCAGGAGTGGCAGTCCCTGCCTCATGGATGAGTTGGAACCTCTTTTCTCCTGAGCCCCTCTCGGTGGGCCCCTCCCAGTGACATTTTAACAGCTCCAGACACAGACTTGTTGGACAATGAAGGGGCGTGGGGGCGTCAGGGTCTTAGTGGGAACTGTATAGGTTTTCCCAGCCCCGCCTGCTGAGGACTGAGAATTGGGGAGCACACACAGAGCCCAGATGGGGAGTTCCAACTACCCCCCCAAAGGAACCAGAGCTCCCTGGGGAAAGGGCTGAGCCTGGGTGTGGGGCAGGGAGTACGGGGGACCTGGGAGCTGCAACAGATCGTAAGGAAGTGCTCCCAAAAATGTACAGGACAAGTGCAAAGGCCACAGAAGCGCCTCGGAGGGGCTCCCGCTGGCCAAATCTGGGGCAGTTTGAGTATAAAGAAGATGACAGAATTGTGCACCTACAAATGGTTAAGCAATAATTATATTTTACCACACAAAAAATTTTTTAAGATAATAATATGTTGATTTTTTTTCTTTTTTGAGAAAGATTAGCCCTAAGCTAACATCTGCTGCCAATCCTCTGCTTTCTGCTGAGGAAGGCCAGCCCTGAGCTAACATCCGTGCCCATCTTCCTCTATTTTATATGTGGGACGCCTGCCACAGCATGGCTTGCTAAGTGGTGCCATGTCCACACCCGGGATCCGAACTGGCAAACCCTGGGCTGCCGAAGTGGAATGTGTGCACTTAACCACTGCGCCACTGATTGTTTAAAAAACCATGAGTCCATAGTGATACATTTCTAAAGTGGAGGAGCTTTGTGAAAGAAAAATGCCAGCCAATAAATGCAGAAAGAATGAAATCATTAGAAAATTGCCATTTTGTAGCCACCATCAGGGGTAAAAGGGTTTTGGGGAACAAGCTGTTCACACGGTCCTCCACGTTCCTGGGGTCTTTATGACCCTTCTATCCCCCTTGAAGTGGTCTAAGGTGGGAGACCGAACACAGCCAAAGCTGGGGGTGGGGGGCGGCGGCCCTGTCTCCAGCCTCTAGCACACCGGGCTCCATCACTGCGGAACCCTCCAGTTCCTGGGAGCCTCCACACCACCTCCAACCTTAGCATGTATGCCTAGCCGGACTTGGGTCTCGCCTAAGAAGTGACCTCCTCTGGGAAGCCCTCCCTCGGCCTGGATGAGATGGAGACTGCCCAGTGCACACCTCTGAAGGGCCCCCCACCACATGGACACCAGGCCCAGGGCCTCGGGAGAAGGTGGAAGGGAGCACAGGCCCGAGGGCACAACACTTGCACAGCAAAGCCCACTCGGGACCTCCCCCCAGGCAAGGGGCCCAGGCTGTGTGGGTGGGGAAGGGGAGAGATGGGTGGCCCCTGCTTCAGTCTCCTCACTTGTAGCATCAGGGCATTATAGGGGTGAGGAGCCCCACCTTTCCTCCAGGCTGGCCCAGCCGCCTCCCTCCAGCCAGACCCAGTCCTCCAGGACACTGTAGACATGCCCACAGGGTGAGGGCCGTAACCTTAGTGTGGAGCGGCCCGTCTTCACCCAACACCGCACCCCACACACGCAGGCTTGTGAAGGGTTTTTTGTTTATTTATTTAAAACAAACATCTGTGCGCTATGTACAAGTCCGGCTCGTGGGTAGTGGGCGGGCGGGCAGGGGGCCAAGCTGAGTGGGAGAGCAATGGCAGCTGGAGGGAGTGGGGCTGGCTTCTCCATGCCTGCTACAGGGTCCACCGCCCCAAGGCGGCCCCCTCCCTGGCCCACGCCAATGGCTTCCCTCGGTCGTGACTTCCCCGCATGAAAGTGAGTAAGGGAGCCTCTTCCTAAAGCAAAATAAATACGTGCCTGGGGGTGGGACCTAACCCAGCCCCACTCTCACCCTAGGCCTGCAGCTGCTGCCATCTGACTCAGGTGTCAGAGAAAAGTGGGTTCAGGAGGCCAGGCCCTGCCAGGAGAGGGTCGGGTGGTTCCTGGCAGCCCATATCACCCCCGTGGTCCTGGGGGTGGTGGGCAGAGCTGGGCAGGGGCAGAGGCGAGGGGCCAGCCAGACCCCAAGGCTTTAAGGCAGAGCAGGGTGGGGGTGTGTGCAGCCCAGGGCCGGGCCAGCCTTTGGCACAATCAGGGGAGGTGGTGTGATGGCCATGAGCAGGGCCAAAGATGGGGGGTGGGGATGGAGGGGGCGTGAAGTCCTTGGTCCTGGACCTCCCACTCCAGGCCTGGCAGGTGGGCACTGGGGTCACGGGGTGGGGCCTTGGCCACCGCCTGACTTCTGTCCCCACAGCGTGTCTTTGAGCCTGCTCCTGGCGGTCAGCAGAGCGTGTCCGTGTTGAAGGAGAGCTGGGCCTAGCAGACAGTGGGTGGGCCGGGCTCAGGAGGCATCGTCCGGCACCCACCACTGCCCCACCTCTATCCCCTCCTCTGAGTTCTTTCTTGCCGGGGCGTTCCTCTTGTGGCCTCCCTGCTGAGTCTGGTTGCCCCTGTATTGACAGCTCTCCCCGTCCCCAGGCTCCGCTCCCATACCTCTATGCCCAGGCCTTCCACGTCCACTCTAGTCCTGAGCATCAGGCAGGTCCCTCTGTTCTCTTCTGCTTGGGACATCAGGGTCCCTGGGGCCACTCTTCCCCCACCCCTGCTTCCCACCCCAAGCCTGAGCCCTCTGGCCAGCTGGCTGCCCTGA